CCCCCCCCCCCCCCTGAATTAGCCTCACATAGACGCATATTTTATGAACAAATTATGTTTACCCTTCAGGTTGGCCATGTGCAAAAAAGACAACTAAGCCCAGGAAAGGTGTATGAAATTAAAACACTTAGCTTAAGACCGCCTATCTTTGGTAAGAAAATTAAAATTTTCCTAAATTCTTTGTCATCCATTTATTTATATTAAACGCAGTATTGACTCATTAATAAATTTCATGTCTTGATCTCTATTTCATGTCAGAAATTCCCGATTTTCTGTCCGAAGACGAATGCCAGACTATAATAAACCGAGCTTCCAAGGCGGGCCTGGACACCAGTGAGGTCCAGGACCCTGAAACGGGTATCAACATTGAGCCAACCAATAAGGCGACATTTCACAGTTGGGATTACAATAGCGATGGTGTCATTGACAAAGTGGAGGTAGAGGTCGTAGACAATGCTATCTTAAATTTATTGGCATTTTTCTCAAGGTGTAGTCTCGATATCCCACAAGTATTAGTGTCAGTCTATATTCTTTAGCTTTTCAACTCATCTCCCATCAGAGCAAGTGTCAGGCAATTCTTCTCTGGGTAAAGAGGGTGTGAAGAGGTGTAACCCCCTCCTCACCCGGGAGAGTATCCTTTTGTTAAGAGTGCGAGTATCTATTGTAGCAATTTTCTTGCAATTCTTTGATGGATAAATTCAAATGAGCAAAGAGGAGACAAAATCGGGCAATCAACCTCTAGATAACAAAACTCTAACTCTTTTAATTCCTTTTTTGTAGGTAATGCATAATCTTGTTGATCTCAGTGATTTATACTTCTCAGAAGAAGACATCGCAAAAATGTAAGTGGCCCGTCAGGGTGGGACGTTATCGTCATCATTTCCTTATCCTCCTTCGTCCTATTTACAACAAATATAATCCTTTGTGATCATCGCCGTTAAAATTAGGGAGACGTCACATGTTAATCACTTCCGGGAGTTTAATGGTTAAGACAAGGCTGTAACTATGTTTTTCTTTTTACTAAACGTCTGCAGGTTTGTTGAGCTGAAAGTAGACAAGAATAACAATGGTTTGTATTTTGGTTTTTTTTTGCTATTTTCCTTGCACTTAACCTTTTTCTTTGGGTATTTAGAAACCAAAGGATGAATTTTTTAACACAATGTAAACTTTCAGTGGCAAAATTTCGATTTAGAGTAATATGGGTCAGATTACTCACGTTGCACTATTTCTGCCGTTAGTTGACAATTAACCTTTTTTTTTTAAGGTGTTATGGATTTAAAAGAGTTCCTTGCAGTGACGACAAACAAGATTATGAAAAGTCTTCATAACATGGCAAAAAAACTTCCTCGGGTGAAAAGTCGAAACAGTCAGCAAACATGGTTGGATCATCGAAAGATCAAAGGACTCAATGACAGGTAAATAAAAAGAGGTCAAGGGAGTGAGTGACAGCCTTTTGTTGACTTTTCCATCTATTTTCCGCGCAATTTTGGAAGTAACAAGTTGATCACCTCCTGGTTTTTAAGAGGTAACAGGATGGTCGCGCGACTTGGTGTCAATGGAACTTATGGGAAATTTTTATTTGGAGTATCTTGAATAATTTGCGGTCCACTTAATAGGTTACTAAAATAGGAGTAGCCAGATTCTGGTAGCCAATATCTAAATTAAAAAAATGTATAACAAACTTGCTGAAAACGTCAAAACATCTTTTAAAAACTTTTTTGCATTAAAAAATTAATCATTGGCTTTCAGAGTGGCGGCTCTGACAAAGCTTCCAAGGGCAGTTATAGAGGAGAGTGAAGAACTTCAGGTAAGCATTCCGTTTTTTTTTTTTTTCATTGAAAGAATCCATTGATCTATGTTTCCGCTGTGTTTAAGTTAGTAGAGGGATGAGGTGGCGGTGATAATAACCTTTCGTGACCCTTCCCGAATGATAAGTGGCTCGATGCTGTTATTCATTCTTTCTTTCTTTTTCTTTTTCCTTTTTTCACTCGTAGGTTGTCCATTACCATCCCGAGGGCCACTATCACTGTCATCATGATTCCCAAGATTTTGAACCGAACGTTCCTTGTTGTGCTTTCCGTGATAGAAGTCACTGTCGTCTTTGCCGGTAAAAAAAAAATAGATTACGTGCAGTTTTCATTGGTGCTGCTGCGCAAGCATTTTGCTGGCTTTTCACGAGGTTTACAGAGTCGAGTTAGCCTGCCAGCAATATTAGTACTTCTCCACGAGCGTTTATACGCCCTGGAGCGACTTGAGCGAGGCGAACCCGCTAAAGGTGTGCAAGGGGTCTAGAACCAAGCCCCAGAAAACCTCTCCCCGACTCGTCTCAAATCCACGCGCGGGCGGAGAAACGGACTTCCTGTGGCACTAATTATGTGCGTCTGCTCGTAAGCTAGAGTCGAACCAGCCCGCCTTGTTTACAGGCGCGAAAACTTACCCACAGGCTAAGAAGTCATATTTAACTAGTGGGTAATCTTCCCCACAAATAATATTCGGTCGGGTCTGGAGAAGAGCTGATGGTGAAGTCATGGTGAAAACGTGTATGCAAACTTAATTGTGAGAAATGCGGAGAGGGATTTAGATTTTAGTTAGACTCAGTCTCGTTTTAAATTCCATTGGTTGGGTAAGTGGCAGAAATTTCGTCGTACATGTGAAGGGCATACATGTGTTAAGATCCCCTTGTTTGGTCATGTCATGTAAAGCTCTCGTTGGGAGAAAGATCACATTGCGTGACGCGAGGTAACAAACCTTGGTAGAAGGAGTCTAATCTCTAGAGGATAATATAACTGACTACAGGATATGTTTGAAGTAAATTTTGAAGAGCTTCGATCATTTTCTTACAGGTATATTACAGTGTTGTACTTTTTAAATGATGTGGAAGAAGGAGGCGAGACTGCCTTTCCAGT